AGTGGTCCCTCCGGAAGGCAGATAAGGGTGGGGAGGGAAAAATGTCTTTGGTGGTGGGGTCGGATTGCAGATGGCGAAGTATCGGAGGATGATGCGTTGGATCCGGAGGTTGGTGGGGTGGTATGTGAGGATGAGGGGGATTTTTTTTTTGGTTGTTATTGCGGGGACAGGGTGTGAGGGATGAGTTGCGGGAAATGCGGGAGACACGGTGGAGGGCGTTCTCGACCACTGACGGGGGGGAGGTTGCGGTCCTTGAAAAACAAGGACATCTGAGATGTACGGGAGTGGAATGCCTCATCCTGGGAGCAGATGCAGCGGAGGCGAAGGAATTGGGAATAGGGGATGGCATTTTTGCAGGAAGGTGGGTGGGAGGAGGTGTATTCTAGGTAGCTTTTTTTTGTTCACTCGTGGGATGTGGACTTTGATGGTTGGCCAGCATTTTATTGCCCATCCCCAGCCGCCCTAGTGAAGGTAGTGGTGAGCTGCTACCTTGAACTGCTGCAACCAACATGCTGTGGATTGATCCACAATGACCTTAGGGAGGGAATTCCAGGATTTTAATGCAGACACAGTGAAGGAATGGTGATATATTTCCAAGTCAAAATGGTGAGTGGCTTGGAGGGGAACCTGCAGGTAGCAGTGTTCCCATGTATCTGCTGCCCTTGTCCTTCGAGATGGAAATGGTTGTGCATTTGGAACATGTTGTCCAAGGATCTTTCGTGAATTTTTGAGGTGCATCTTGTAGATAGTATGCACTGCTGCTACTGTGCGTCAGTGGTAGAAAGAGTGATGCTTGTGGATGTAGAGCTAATCAAGCGGGATGCTTTGTCCTGGATGGTGTTAAGCTTCTTGAGTGTTGCTTGAGCTGCATGCATCCAGGCAAATGGGGAATATTCCATCACAATCCTGACTTGTGCCTTGCAGATGGTGGACAGGCTTTGGGGAGTCAGGAGGTGAGTTACTCACTGCAGTATTCCTAGCTTCTGACCTGTTTTTGTAGCTGCTGTGTTTATGTGGTGAGTCCAGTTGAATTTCTGGTCAATAGTAACCCCAAGGATGTTGATAGTGTGGGATTCAGTGATGGCAGCACTATTGAATGTCAAGACATGTTGGTTAGATTGCCTCTTATTAGAGATTGTCATTGCCTGGCATTTGTGTGACATGAATGTCACTTTCCACTTGTTAGCCCAAGCCTGGATATTGTTCAGATCTTGTTGCATTTGAACATGGACTGCTTCAGTATCTGAGGAGTCACAAATGATGCTGAACATTGTGCAATCATCGGCAAACATCCCCACTTCTGACATTTGTGAAGCATAGACACTTCCCTGAGGAACTCCTGCAGACATGTTCTGGAGCTGAGATGACTGACTTCCAACGATCACAGCTATTTTCATATATGACAAGAATGGAGAGTTTTCTTCAATACTCGTTGATTCCATTTTTGCTTGGGCTCCTTGGTGCCACACTTGGTCAAATGTAGCCTTTATATCAAGGGCTATCACTCTCAGCTTACCTCTGCAATCCAGCTCTTTTATCTATGTTTGAACCAAGGCTGTAATGAGGCCAGGAGCTGAGTGGCCCTGGTGGAACTCAAACTGGACGTGACTGAGCAGCTTATTACTGAGCTGGTGCTACTTTAATGCACTGTTGATGATACCTTTCATCATTTTATTGATGATCGAGAGTATACTGATGGGACGGTGATGTGCCAGGTTGGATTTGTGTACAGGACATACCTGGGCAATTTTCCAGTGTTTTAGTTGTACTGGAACAACTTGGCTAGGGGAGCGGCAGGTTCTAGAGAACAAGTTTTCAGTACTATTGCTGAAATGGTGTCAGAGCCCGTAGCCTTTGCGGTATCCAGTGCATCTAACCATTTATTGATATTGCGCAGAGTGAATCAAATTGGTTGAAAGCTGGTATCTGTGATGCTGGCGACCACTGAAGGAGGCCGAGATGGATCATCCACTTGGCATTTCTGGCTGAAGATTACTGTGAATGCTTCAGCCTTATCTTTTGCACTTATGTGTTTGGCCCTTCCTTCACTGAGAATGGGGATATTTGTGGAGCCGCCTCCTCCAGTGAGTTGTTTAGTTGTCCACCACCATTCACAACTGGATGTGGCAGGACTGCAGAGCTTAGATCTGATCCATTGGTTGTGGGATCTCTTAGCTCTGTCTATCACATGCTGCTAATGCTGTGTGGCATGCAAGTAGTCCTTTTTGGTAGCTTTACCAAATTGACACCTCATTTTCAGGCCTGCCTGGTACTGCACCTGGCATGCCTTCTTGCACTCTCCATTGAACAAGGGTTGATCCTCTGGCTTGATGGTAATCATTGAATGGGAATAGGCCAGTCCATGAGTTTGTGCTGGATTGTGCTGGAGTACAATTCTGCTGCTGTAAATGGCCCACAGTGCCTTATGGATGCCAGTCATTAGTTACTGGATCTGTTTGAAGTCTCCCCATTTAGCACAATGATAGTGCCACACAACGCGATTGAGGTTATTCTCAATGTGAAGGCTGGACTTTGTCACCACACGGACTGTGTGGTGGTTACTGTTACCGATACAGTCACGGACAGATGTATTTGCAGCTGGCAGATTGGTAAGGATGAGGTCAATGATGTTTTTCCCTGTTATTGGTTTCCTCATCACCTGCTGCAGACCCAGTCTAGCAACTATGTCGTTTAGAACCTGACCAGCTCAATGAGTAATGTTGCTGCTGGGCCACTCTTTGGTGGACATTGAACCCAGAGTACATTTTGTGCCCTTGCCACCCTCAATGAGTACTCCAAGTATTGTTCAACATGATTCATCTGCAGAGGAAATATGATATATGCTAATCAGCAGGAGGTTTCCTTGTCAACAGGGCATTCAGGTTGTTTGAACTATGACCTCTGGTCCTAAACTCTCCCATGAGGGGAAACATCCTTTCAGCACTTGTCCTGTCAAGCTCCTTAAGATTCCTATATGTTTCAATGAGATCGGCTCTCATTTTTCTAAACTTCAGTGAGTAGAATCCTAAACTGTTCAGCCTTTGGTGATAAGACAATCTCTTCTTACCAAGGATCATCCTGGTGACAAAAATTGCTGGCAAATAATTGAATGGGAATACCCACCATGTTTAATTGGTAACCAAGAGACATCATTGAGTCTGAAGTTAATGTTGACGACTCCTAGGGCAACACAGACTTGACTGTATACCTCTGTGCTGCCTCCTCTGCTGGCTCTGCCCTGTCAGTGATTCAGGGCATATCCAAGGGTGGGACATTGCCTTTAAGATATGATTCTGTGAGTATGAATATGTCAGGCTGTTGCTTGACTAGTCTTTGAGACAGCTGTCCCAATTTTGGCACTCGGCCCCATCTGTTAATAAAGAGAACATTGCCGGGTCGACAGACATGTTTCTGAAGTTGTCTATTTTGGTGCCTACATTGATGCTAGGTGGTGCATTTGATTTCATTTCTTCCTTTCTTGAGCCTTCGTATTGAAGTCTATAACACAAAGTGGCTGCTGAGCCATTTTAGAAGGCAGTTAAGAGTCACCCACATTGCTGTGGATCTGAAATCACATGTCGGCCAGACCAAGGGAGGAGGGCAGATTTCCTTCCATGAAAGACATTAATGAGCCAGATGGATTTTTCTGACAATACACAATGGTTTCATAGTCGTCAGTCAATTCTTAATTCCAGATTCTCTCTTTATTAATTCAAATTTCACCATCTGCTGTTGTGGCATTTGAACCCAGTTTTTCAGTATGTTAGCTGAGTTTCTGGATTAATGGTCTAGCAATAATACCATTAGGCAATTGCCTCTATGATTCTGTGTTTTCAGTACCTACATTATCCTTCTCTAAAGTGAATACTGATGCAAAGTACTAATTTAAAATCTCACTGATGTCTTCCAACTCCATGTACAGCTTAGCATTTTGGTTTCTCATGGCCCCTATACTTCCCTTGCTCATTCCCTTGCCCTTAAATATACTAGTAAAATGCCTTTGGATTTGCTTTATTTTACCCACCAATGTTTTTCATACAGCTTCTTTGCTTTTTTAATTTTCTTTTAAAAAACCCTCTTCACTTTTTATGTGCCTCTAGTTTTCCAGGGTTATGAGCCCTCTTCCCTTTTCCCTCATCCAATCCCATACATTCCTCAATTTCCAAGGTTCTCTGGACTTGTTGGCCCACCCATCACCATTACAGAGACATGTTTCTCGTACACTCTCATTATTTCTATTTTGAAAGCCAACTACTGCCCTGATATAGACTTTCCACCAAATAACTGTTCCCAGTCTACATTGGTCAAATCATGTCTTATATTTAAAATGCCCAACACCCAGTTCAGAACCTTTATTCCTGGTCTATCTTTGCCCTTTTCCATGACTACCTTAAATTTTACTGCATTAGGTCCATTATTATCGAAATCCACCCCCACTGACACTTCTACCACTCTGGCTTCATTCCCTAAAATTAGGTCCCTTCTCTCGCAGGACTTTCTATACGCTGGCTTTGAAACTTTTCCTTCCTTTTAAGAAGTTTACCCCAGATTTTGAGGGGCAATTGGGGAGGCATAACGTCAGGGTAATGATCTTGGGTGGGATGTCTCAGGCTATTCTCTGAAGGTGGTACTAATCTTCCTTCCCACTCTTTCTTCAACTTTGAAAGAACACCAGTTTTAACATTTCACCCATCTTCCACTGCTTGGTGTAATACTGTAGTGGAGGCATATTGACGTCCTTAACTGCCACTTAATTGGACAGTTAAGGGTTTCAATAGACTCAAAGCTGGACGGCTTTTAAACCCCTTCCCTACAGTATTATAGGGACCAAGTAGCGGATGTGCAGGAAGGTGGTGGACTACCCATTTAACTACTTCTACGTGTGCTTCTGCCAAAAACAAACCAATATTCCCACATTGATTTTGTGATCCTGACATTTTAATAGTATGAACTTTGTATGTAAATAGAACATATTTATTACATTGATGATTATTTTACAGCATGCAACTTGTCTGACTGAGAATTTCACAAAGATTAATGTGAATTTAAGTAATATAGTAATATTGGATGAGGAGGCCAAAAAGAGTCTTCATGATTTTGGTGAAACTGGCATTGACACAATTGATTTCACCGCCTACTTCGTTGAGGTAATAATTTATCTGAATTTTCTAGGTAATGACAATATACCAGTTGCAAAATGTCATGTGATTTGAATTGTGTACGCTTTAAATTATGTATTCTTAAAATGATAATCAACTCCGTCTCACCTAATGCCATTGATATGATTATTCAAATTAAATATAGTTGAAGCTAATGTTGCCATTCATTTTCTTAGATTATGATGTTTTAACAGTTTTTGTTATATCAGAATTTCAAGTTTAGTAATGTGTTCATCTTGCAAATCAAGATTTAAATGATTAATTGAAGGAAGCTATGTGCTAAAAATGATCATTTTTTCTTTGCCCCCCCCCCCAGTAAAATAGTTCCTCATATATAATAAATATTCTTATCTTTTGTATGCATTCTGTATAGTCTTGCACTATTTAGTTTAGTGTAGCCCAATAACTCAAATTCTCCATTTCTCTGATTTTGATGCTTATACATCTGCCATCCCTTTGCCACATCCTTGGTGTTGCTTATTTTATTGCACAGGTCCCACGTTCTGTTCCCTCCACTCATTTTGCTTTGACTGACTTCTCAGTTCCACACGCCCCCCAAAAAAAATCTTGGCTTTTTGGTTGGCAGTCATTTCCCCTTGCACTTTTGTAGTGCTTCCTTCATTCAAAATATCGTTCAACAAATATTTTCTTTTGATAGTTAGCTCTAAATTTCAATTTGATAGAATTCAAATCTGGAGGAGTGTGGAATTTAGATAGATACATAGAAAATAAAATTCTAGCATATTCAAGTTCATTGCTTAAGAATTGAGATTTTGTGTACAATGGGAATTAAAATAGCTCTTCTAAAGTACTAATGTAACTGGTTCCCTCTGTCTTTGCAAACTACTTCCTCATCTCTGACTTTCTTCATCAAAATTTTTGTTGCCTCCTGAATGCTTAAGCATCTTTTCAAGTATTCCATGTTTGAATCTCCCAAAATGTGTCCCTGATATGTCACAGCAGAAAGATAGCCAGCTCTTAAAGTTGCAAATAGAGTTCTTTGTCAAAGTAAACAAGGTGCATTATGCCTCTTCATGATACTCAGCCTTTTTGCAGCCTACAGCATGGTAAAACAAACCTCTGATGACCAGCACTTTGTTTAGTTCCAATTTTATCTACCCATTTAAAAACCATGCTTTCCTTTCTTCACTGTTACCTCAGGGGTTCCTCAGTGATTTATCCTTGAGCCCTTTTTCTTTCTTCCGTAAAGCCCCATGTTACCTAGATTTGCCATCAGGCGGTCATTTTCTACAGATATATCTAGGTTAAGACCTAGTTCTTTGACCAAGCTTTCTGTTCATGTATCACTGTTGATGTATACTGTTTGATTGTTGGTTTCTTTCTGATTGCATCTTTGTGAAATGGTTGGGGGGAATGTTTCTGCATCGATGTCATTGGCAATCACTCGCTAATGAATATGATTGTCCACCTAGGAAATTTCATGTCACTGGTCATGGATTCTGAGGGTCCTCGTGTGGCTGGTGAATCTGATCCTAGAACTGCATCTCCAACCAAACATTTGGCAGGTGTTTCCAGGCCTTGGCCTTAAGATCGCTGGCATTTCTTTCATTGGTTGCTTTTTTGTACTTCCTCCTGCTGACAGGTGTTCTCAAAGATTTATTTCCCTTCGTACCAGAGGTTCCTCCAAATTAGTTTCTTCTGAATGAGGATCTCCCGTGTGTTGACATCTATGTTGCATTTCTTGAGGAAAGAATTCAGGAAGTCTTCTAAACACTTCCTTTGTCTTCCTTCAAGCAAAGAAGATTTGCTTTGGCAGTCAGAACTCGGGCATACTAAGCATGCAGCTGGTCCAGCGGAGTTGGTTTCAGATGATCATGGCCTCAATGCTGGTGCTCTTAGCTTCTTCAAGGATGCTGATGTTAGTATGCCTCTCCTCCCAGCTGATGTGGAGGCTCCATCTGAAATAGTGTTGATAAACTTCTCAAGACCCTTGGGATGGCATCTGTAAGTAGTTCACGTTTTGGAGCCATATAGAAGAGTTGGAAGGATGACTGCCTTATAAACTGGACTCTTGATGTCTACACGGATCTCACAGTATCTTTAGGCATCCAAAGTGGGCACTTGTAGATTGAGTGCAATGTTGAATAGTCGTATTGATGCCAGCCTTGGATGAGAAGAGGCTCCCCAGGTAGGGAAAATGTTCCACTTTTGGGAGAATTTCTCCATTGATCTTGCCCTGGGGACAGTTTGGTAAAGGACTTGAGAATTCTTGAGATTGGCAGAGACCAATTCTTTGGTATGCTTTGTCAAAGGTGTTAAACGAGACTTGAAAATTTTCTTCCAAGAGAATGGAGCTGACATTGTCATCTGCATACTGAAGTTCCAGGAGTGAGGTTGGTGGCATTTTCTCCTCGGATTTTAACCAATTGAAGTTTAAAAGCTCTTCAGCCATCCTGTAGAAAATATCCATAAGACCGTAAGAAATAGGAACAGGAGTAGTCCATTCATCCCTTCTTGCTTGCCACACCATTCAGTAGGATCATGGATGATCCAACATTCCTCACGTCCACTTTCCTGTGTTTTCCCCATAACCTTTGAATCCCCTACTCTATCTCAGCCTTAAATATATCAAGGACTTAGCCCCACAGCTCTGTGTAGCAAGGAGTTCCAAACACACTCAACTCCCTGAGAGAACAAATTCCTCCTCATCTCAGTCCTAAATTGGTACCCCTTTAATTTGATACCAGGCCTCTGGTCCTAGATTCTTCCATGAGGGGAAACATGTTTCAGCATTTACCCTGTCAAGCCTCTTAAGGTTCCTGTACACTTCAATGAAATCACCTCTCATTCTTGTAAACCTTAGTGAGTAGAGTCCCACACTATTTAGCCTTTGGTGATAAGACAATATCTTCATACCAAGGATCTTCTTAGTGATAAAAATTGCTGGAAAACTCAGCAGATCTGGTAGCATATGTAAAGAGAAAGCAGAGTTAACATTTTGGGTCCAGTGACCCTTCTTCAGAATTCATCCTTGTGAGCCTGTCTCCAATGAATTGATAGCATACCTTAAATAAGAAGTCCAAAACTGCTCACGGTAATCACCGGCATATTGTAAAGTTGCAATAAGACTTCCCTAATCTTATGCTCCAATCCCCTTGAAATAAGGGCCAATATTCCATTAGCCTTCCTGATTACCTGCTGCCCCTGTGTGCTAATTTTCTGTGTTTCATACACAAGTGTATAAATCCATTTGTGTTGCATATTTCTTCATTAAATAATATTCTGTTCTTTCGTTCTCCCTTTCAATTTGAGCAATTTCTCTTTCTCCATATTATACTCCATTTGCTAACATTTTGTCCACTTAATTAACCTATCGATATTTTTTTCTGTAAATTGTTTCTGTCTCTCTCATAACCTGCCTTCCCACCTATTTTTATGTCATTTGCAAATTTGGCACAGTACATTCACTTCCTTCGTCCAAGTTATTAATATGTATTATAAACAGTTTTGGTCCTAGCACTGATCTCTGTGGAATCCTGCTGGTCACAGGTCACCAATCCCCACTTGCTGTTTCCTACCCATTAGCCAATTCCCAACCCATGCCGATATCCTAGCTCCAACACCATGGGCAATTCCAAATTGACTGTGTCAAGATCCGTGATTAGATCAATGAAGGCCATATAGAGTTGTTTCTGTTGTTCTTGACATTTGTGTTGAAGTTGATGAGCAGTGAAACTTATGTCCATAGTTCCACAGTTTGGTTGGAAGGCGCACTGGCCTCAGGGAAGGATTCCTTAGAGACTGGGAGAAGACACCTAGCTAGGGATTCGGATGATGATCTTCCTGGCGATAGAGAGTAGAGTGGTTTCTCAGTAGTTTCCATAATCCATTTTGTCACCATTGTTGAAGATGGTAGTGATGACTTCATCCCTGAGATGAGCAGGAATTTCTTCTTTGTCCCAGATTTTCAGGAACGATTGATGGAGGTAACGAGTAAACTCTACTCCTCCAAGTTTGAAAATCTCTGCTGGAACTTCACCCATTCCTATGGCTTTTCTATTCTTCATGTACCTGACGGCAGCTTCAACTTCTGCCATCTTTGATGGGGAGTTGGGGAACTTCCTCAAACGTGTCCTCACCTATCATTATATCACAGCTTAGAAGTTTTTGAAGTGTTCTCTCTCTCATAGGCAGATGGATTTTTCTGTCTCTCAAAAGGGTTCTGTTCTTACTCTACAGTACTTTGAGGCAAAGAGGGAGTTTGGACCGTATAGTGCCTCGATAGCGCTGAAGAAACTCCGGTGCCATGCTTGTCAGCAAGGAGTTCCAGCTCTTTAGCTTTCTCAGTCCACCGCTGGTTCTTGATTTTCCTCCCACTCCTTGGATGACATGTCCATCCTTGGGCCTCCTGCATTGCCACAATGACGCCACCTGAAAGCTGCAGAAACAGTATCTCATATTTCGCTTGGGAACCCTGCAGCCCAAGGGTATCAATGTGGACTTCACAAGCTTCAAAATCTCCCCTCCCCCGACCGCATCCCAAAACCAGCCCAGCTAGTCCCCGCCCCTAACCAGTCCTCCCACCTCAAGCCCCACCCCCATCTCCTACCCACTAACCTCATCCCGCCTCCTTGACCTGTCCGTCCTCCCTGGACTGACCTATCCCCTCCCTAACTCCCCACCTACACTCACCTTTACCGGCTCCAACCCCGCCTCTGTGACCTGTCTGTCTCTTCTCCACCTATCTTCTCCTTTATCCATCTTCTATCCGCCTCCCCCTCTCTCCCTATTTATTTCAGAACCCCCTTCCCCTCCCCCATTTCTGAAGAAGGGTCTTGACCGGAAACGTCAGCTTTCCTGCTCCTCTGATGCTGCTTGGCCTGCTGTGTTCATCCAGCTCTACACCTTGTTATCTCAGATTCTCCAACATCGGCAGTTCCTACTATCTCTTGATTTTCCTCATTCTTCTTTGTAACTCCGACTTTGCTGTTTGATGAGTTCTCATTTTTACCTCGCTGGTGGTGATGATTCGCCAGCACAGAGAACTTTCCTCTTCTTGTCGATGAGATCTTGGATGATGTGGCCATTCTTGTCAAGCCAGAGTGGTTCATGTTTCTTTATCATGTAGCCATGGTTTCTTCATAGCATGAAGTGATGGCTATCTTCAGCCATTTCCATATTTCTTCCACTTCATTAAAATGAACTGTTTGAAGATTTTGGTGAAGGCATTGCTGGAAGCTTACTAGTGTGCTTGGCTCTTGAAGCCCTCCAATATTGAGCATTTTTCTGAGCAGTTTCTTTGTCTTCAGCTGCTTTTGGTGGTATCGATGAACATTGAGAAGTGGATGAGCAAGTATTCCATCCAGCAGTTGTCTGCACTGGTTGCAACTTTGTAACCAGGACATTCATTTGGTCTTGGGTTTGAGTGATGATATAATTGATCGTGGTTGTCTCCAAGAAATCTTGAACTTGTCTTTTTGGTGGAACAGTGTGTTGGCACTGACAAGTTGGTGTTCAACACATTTGGTGAGCAGGAGAATCCTGTTGGAATTACAATTCCTGAGCTCCTTTTTTGGTTCTTTTCCAAGGTTTTGCAACCTATCCAAACCTGGTGTGGAAGTCTCTAACGAAGGTACTTTTATCTTCCTTACAGATGTTGGTGAGTATCATACTTAGGGTGGAGTAGAAGCCTTCTTTGGACTCATCTATGTCATCAAGGATTGGGGCATAGGCACTCACACCCTGCTTGTTCTTGGCAAGTTGTAGACGGAGAGTCCTGAGATGATTGTTGATGCCAAGCTTCAGGAGGTGTTTGATGAGTTTGTTCTTGATGTTGAATCCAATTCTATGTGTGCTTGGTTGATCCTTGGGTTTTCCTCTCCAGAAGAAGGTGTAACCACCACCTTCTTCCCTCAGCAACCTGCTCTTCGAATCTCTTGCAGGGCAGCGATATCACTGTTGAAGTGCCTGAGTTTACTGGCAACAAGAAGTTGATTGGTTAATGTACTAGTGCCCAGTCATCAATGATAAAGAACTTTTGCCTGCCAAATTGATGTGATTGATTCTCAGGTAACTGAACATCTTGGAGCAAGGAACAAGTTAGAAAGAGAAAAGTGTTCAGTTCTTCCTCGGGTCAGAAGCAGTCTCATGGAGTCGTCAAAACTCACTGTAAACCTGAAGAAAACCAGTTTACCTTTTCTGCAACAGTTGCTGTAAACTGTGACTTTAACTGATAAGTCAGAGTCTTTTTAAAAGTGAACCAGCTATCTTGTGTCTCTCATGAACCAGTAGAAGCAACTGCAGAAGGATGACTGAAACAAAGTGCTAGCCAGCAAAAAAGTCATAAGCATCATGTCAACAGCAGTACCCACAAAAGGTCTACTGAACTGCCTTTCCAAATAGTTTCCCATCCCCGTCTAATAACCTATTTCCCTGTCTGTTTACCTGTCTGTATGTCTAAAAGAATTTAATAAGAGGGCTAGTTTTAATTTTAATTAGTAGTATTTTGTGCTGCCCATTAATAACTGTTTAGCTGTAACAAGAATGTAATTACTTGTAGTCAATAGTGATTTTTCTTCAATTCAGAAACCTGGTCCATGCTCTTTATCAATCTGTATCTAAGGTGTGTCCGGGAATTTTGTGAAGTTTTTAAATCTTGAACTTGTGTGATGACTCCAGGAACATTAGAACATGATTTCCAGTGTGCAACCTTAATGAGACATAACAATCAAATAAAAGCAAAATAATGCAGATGCTGGAAATTTGAAACAAATACAGAGAATGATGGAGATTTCAGCAAGTTTGGCAACTTCAATGGAGAGTTAATGTTTCGAGTCTGATATGACTGTCATTCTGAAGAACCCGCTGAGTTTCTTCAACATTCACAGTGTTTGAATCGTAACAGTACTTGTGACCTAAGTTGGATAGTGGAGCAGAATTCCAGAGTGAGTTATAGATCATTCATGTGAAAGACATGTGAAATTCAAGGAATGATTTTATATAACTCTATAGAAGATCTGTCTGTCAACCAGACATTATTGCTTTTGTGCAAAGGTACATTTTAGCACTGTCTAATAAGTTCACTTCAATGTTTATTTCTCTTAACTTTTCAGCTCAAGAAAAGTGTGACTAAGACGGATCTTCGCACATTTGCGAATGATCTAGAGGCGAAAGCGAACTCATTGGTATGTTTTGATTTTGGAAGCTGGATACAATTTGAGTGAGACAGTGGGGAAAGAGACAGATACTCAGGCAGGCACAAAGAGAGTTGTATTTGCTCACCTTTTTGTAAGGACATAGAGATACATTTTCAGATTCCTGTAGGTTATTTATTTGATACTATTACTGATAACTAAATATAAATTAATTGTAGTGCAAGTAACCATTTTTAAGTCTGTTTACCAATTGCTACCTCTTTTATCATCTAAATTTTCAGAATTTGTATGAGTAAATTTGTTATGTGAATGTTTTCTCTTTTGATAGTGGTGGAAACTACATTTTATAAAGTAGGAAATTTATACTGGATTACTGGGGTGCTGTACCAGAAACTATTAACATGTAACTTTTTTTGCAGATCACAAACTAAGCTTAATTTCTTTATTGCAGCAGAGACTTGTAGATTTTAAAAGTTAATGTTATCCTACAAAGGAAATGTAATCCTGATTAAATAGATTGACTGCATTGTGCTTCCTATAATGCTCTTTCTATGTCAATTCCCAGTGGTGACTATTGTTTTGCAAAATAATTATCTATTGAGATAAGGTCTCTCTCACTAACATGAAGAAATATCTCCATTAAGGCTTCACTTATCAATGTCAGTTTTCCACTCCTTTGTTTTCTGTCTTGAAAATGGCAAACAGGGATGCATTGGCAGCTGTTGCTCTTCCAATATCTTAAGTGAATATTAGTCTGGACAAGCTTCATACTTCCCTCTGTACTCTCTGATATTTGGCATCTAAATCCACATGAGTGTTAAGTAGCAGCAACAAGTTAGAACGATGACTGATTTTTCTTGAAAGTCTCCATTGCCTTAAGCATAATGATGATAAGTTGTGAACCATCAGTAGTACCCAAACCACAATTAGTTAACTTAGGGGTAGATGATGATTGAATCTTTTTCTACTCTCTGTGCTTTACTGCTACACCTGGACATTTGGTTTCATGGGCTGGTCTATGCTCTTTTTTGAGAGAAATCTTACAATTACAATGAACACTAACCTGCTTTTCATTAATCTCTGCTGTTCTTTACATATTTGTATGTGAGTACAAATTCATAAAGCACTGAGAATGGTGAATATTCTGACCAGAAAGTGCACTGTAGCTTTGGATATACTTGGTTCCATAGTTCAACTCCTACAAATATGGAACACGTGAAAATAGAAATCTATACTCAGCAGAGCTGGCAGCATCTGTGGAGAGAAAACAAAGTTAACATTTCAAGCTCAGTGACGATTATTCAGTTCTGAAGATGATTCCAGATCTGCTGAGTTTCTCCAGCAATTTCTGTTTTTGTGAGTTTCACACTTCCAGCATTCACAGTAATTTATTTTATTTTATCTATAAATATGAGGTTGTTTACTCAATAAGTTATATCTGGCCTAATATTTTTATAATCAATCAGTTTACCCTTGATAAGTTAAAAACCCTTTAGAACATTAATATACAAAAAGGGAAGCGGTGGCCTAGTGGTATTATGGCTGGGCTGTTATTCCAAAGACCCAGATAATGTTTTGGGGATCCAGGTTTGAATCCCGCCATGGCAGATGGTGGAATTTGAATTCAATAAATATCTGGAATTAAGAATCTAGTGATGACCATGAATCCATTGTCAATTATTGGAAAAACCCATCTGGTTCACTAATGTCTTTAGGGAAGGAAATTGCCATCCTTACCTGGTCTGGCCTACATGTGACTCCAGACCCACCGCAATGTGGTTGACTCTTAACTGCCCTCTGGGCAATTAGGGATGGGCAATAAATGCTGCCTAGCCAGTGGTGCCCCTCATCCCATGAATAAAAGAAAAAAAGAAAAATAACAGTCTGAAAATTTTGAAATAAATTTCCATAGGCTGAGACATTCTTGCTGCTTATATATCTGTGCTGAATATATTGTTTACTGTTTTGCTTGCATGAACATGCCCGGCTCACCTTGCTCTAAGGGTTCTTCCTGCCTTAACACTAAACTTTTAACCTTCTCTAGTTTTTATCCTATTTTTAACCCTCTCTAAGCTCAACTTGAACATGAGATTTATCTCTTGCACCCTCAACTTTATTCTCATCAAATTGCTGACCTCTTGACTTTATTTCATGGTCCGCATGTCAGCTGCTATTAATGGATCCCTTTCTCCTTTAAAATTGTCACTGTAATCCCTGCTCTCACAAAACAAATGCTCCGTCCTTGCAAGCTGCTACCCCACTTCCAGCCCCACTTTCTTTTCAATTCCTTGAATGTGTTGTTGCCTACCAAATTCTGCTCATCAGCCCCGGGACTTTGAATCTCCGATCAGGTATGTGCCCCATCACAATGCCAAAATGTCTCTACTAAAAGTGACAAATTACGTTTTATGTGGGCGACAAATGTTTCATATCCCTCCTTATCCTTCTTAACCTGTCTGATTGCTTCATTTTACTCAAATGTCATTCCACTGTTGTCCAGTTGGGTGGAACTGCTCTCACCTGGTTCCATTCTTATCTATTTAATCATTGACAGAGAATTGCCATCAATGACATTTCTTCCCATTGCTGTGGTATTCCCTGAGGATGCGATCCTTGTTGCCCTCCTGTTTAATATCTACATGCTACCTTCAGTGAGATGATCTGAAAACACATAAGTTTATGCATATAAAAATATATTTTCAATCAACCTATTCAAACATGTTACGACACAACTCCAGGACAGACATTCAAGACCCTCAGTAAACAGCTTTACTTCATTAGCATCCTTTTTGTCTGACTGTTTTGCCAGACTGTTTTGCTGGCATCCAGTACTGGGTGAGGAATATTTTTCTCCAATTTAGTATTGAGAATATTGAAGTCCCCACTGCAAACTCTAATCCCTCATCACAGATTTTATCCCTTTTCCCGACAACTGTGAAAGGCTGAACCAGAATATTCACAATCTTATGTCACATTTAACAGTGAGCTGAGTGGGTTTTGAACCCCATATCCTTAACATTGCCCAATTTCACATTGGCCTTATCTGTATTGCTGCCGGTTCTCTGATCAATGCCACCCACACTCTATTATGAGTAAAGTCCTATCTACCATCAACCTTGTGCTTACTAACCCACACTAACTCCCAGTATTCTTCTTATAGTTCTCAGCCTCATTTTAAAAACTTCGCATGGCATTTTATATTTCTGTACTCTTCTCCAGCCCTGCGTTCATCCAATTTCAGGCTCCTGAGCATCCCTAATTTTAATTGCTCCACCCCTAATTGTCATGCTTTCAGTTGCCTAGATGCTGTGCTCTGTGTTTCTCTCCCCAGATCTTTCCGGCTGTCTATTTCACTTTGCTCCTTTAAAACATTGTTTACAACCTACATATTTGACTAAGTTATCTAATAATTAATTGAAAAAGCATGATGTGCATTGATGTCTTGTCATTTGGCACCATTGAGGATCATTCTGTCCTGTGCCATTACCCAACTGGTGGCAAACAAATGTCAATAGCTTCTGAGGAAATTTAAAATCCAAATCTACAGTTCTTAAAAAAAAAAAAAAAAAAATCTGGAATGAAATACCTGAAAGGGTGGTGAGGCAGTTTCAGTGCTATGTTTTTAAAGGGATTGGATATTTTGAAAAGGAAATGGTTACAAGGCTATGGAGAGTAATCATTAATTCAAATTAGTGACAAATGCACACATTGAATGGTTTTCTACTGTGCTCTGTGTTTCAAGGCGAGATGGAAGGAGAATTGTGTTTTGAATTTACAATGATTTTGATGCTAATAGAATCCTGTCATTGGAATACTGACTGCTCTTGAATCAATTTCTTGTCATCCACTCAGTATTCTCTGTGTCTTGTAACCTTTGTAAAATGGTGCAAGCAGCTGATAAGGACCAGTCTGTCCTAAATGAAAAGCTAAAATCACTAATTTACAGAAAACTGATGTTGCAAATGTTTGACATAACCAGCATGTATTTGATATATCACCCTAACCCTATCATAAAGGGATTCATTGCTATATTGGACAGCATATTTGAGGCAAAAGACTTATTCATATTTAATGCTTTTTCCAGTGCTTAACTGTCTCAACATAATATTGAACATTTTCAGCCTGCAGGAGCCCTAGCGAATGCATTAAGAGGCCACGTAAACAATATTCGAGCAATCCACAAGCAGCAAGTTATACCACTAGAACAAACTTTGGTAAGAAAAGTACAGAGAACCTTTTTTTTTGCAACAAACCTCTAAACTTCTGCTTGGGCAGCTGTAGTACATCCTGTTTGTGAAAATGAGCATTATTTAACAGAAGCGAAAGTGATCTTGACCCTGCCTGGATAGCTAATGAAAAACCTGCATTAGCTGTGTTAAGGAAGGCCCACTCTATTAATATAGTGCTGTTCAGATGCTGAATTAGACAGTAACGGCTTCTCTGAGATCCAGGACCCCAGCAGCAGATGTCTTGCTCATTGCTGGTCAAAGGTTAATAGCTGAACAGCATTGAATGCTGAACAGTATTTGATGAAGCTAGGTCTTATGCCGTCCCTTCACTGCTTATACTTTTCATTCTTAGTTTGGAAACTATCTGTGTTTCATAAAACATTTTAAATGTTTGCATGTTAATTGCTGTCTGCTATGTACTTTAACTAACTTTTACTTCCTGATTTTTTAAAATGCTAATCAGAAATATGTTGAAGCCCGGGTAAGTCCTTGTTCTAAACATCTAAAAAGTATTTCCTGGAAGACATTTTTAATTTTGTGTTTATTGTCAGAATGTTAATGCTATGTAATAATTAAGAACAGAAAACAGCCAATGGACCCAAAATACCTGGCATCATTCATCAACTCCATTTTAGCCATCTTCTGCTATATTCCCGAAACCTTTTCTTCCTCCAGAGTCATCTCCTCATACTACTGTCTTCAATTTTTTAGTAAATTATTCCATAACTCTATTTTCTTTTATTCTAAAGACATATCTCTGAATTTCTTACTTTAAAAAAATCAGGTAACTTGACCAGTAAAGTATCTTCAGTTGATATTAAACATATTGATACATTGGCCTGGATATTCTGATAACCAGATAGACTTTGAAGCTGTGCAGACTGGAATTGGGGCTGTGGGGAATCCCAGATACAGCGGGCTCCGTTGTAATTGCCCAGGAAATTGAAGATTCCAATGACCAGTTCCCCTGCATATGGAATCCTCTGAAGGAATCCATTAAAGGCGGGAAACTTGGAGCGTTCAGTTTTAATTAATAGTTAATTAAAGAAAAGTTGGACAATTAATAATCTCGTCTGACTCTTGGGTAACTATTAAGCTGATCTCCCAATCATTACTCGCTCCAACCCCAAATATATCCCCCCACCTTATGCTCCCGCATATCCCCAATCCCCACTGACAATCATCCCGCAACTGACCAGACCCCATTCAATCCAACAACCTCTCTCACCCACCGGTCTAACAGCCCTCAGTCTGCTTGCACCAACATCCTTTCCTGGTGCCAGTCCTAATGTCCAGCTTTTGTGCTGCCAGCTCCTACACCCCACCTCAGCTGCCACCAACCATGACACCTTCATCCCCAAGACACTGACCTATCTTAAATACTGCACTTACCTGGCAACCTACCAACTGCTACCCTAACCCGACAATTATCTGACATGCTTATCACTTCATAGAAGCTGTCAAAGGGTCTGGCTGTGTGATTGACTTTTAAATGTCAGAACACAGTCCACTGGCTGCTGCGAAAGGAGATGTGGTTTGGCTGCCCCTGACGATCCTGCAGTATGAGCAATTGTGTTGATTTCACATATGATCTGCATTTCTGAAGGAGTAAGGATCAGAATTTCCACCTAGAAATGAGGAACTCAGTGCTAATAGAAAATAAATTCAGAGAAGAGTGGCAACTGGCTGTGATTTCTACTTCTTGGAATCCCTGGGCCATTTTTAATTGTAATCATATCTCATTCTTCAAATAGGTTAAGTGTTTAGCTGGGCTTAGAACTGGGTGACCCCAATACAAGATAGTGGCTACAGATATTCTTGTGAATGCATTTTAAGAATTCCACTTCCTCTATATATTTTACACTGATTTTATCCCAATTCGTAGCAGTTTGGCTAGAATCCCATGCTACTTTTGTACTGCTGTTTCTACACTTTTGTCAGCAATTTGTCTACATATCTAGTTTTCTATTTTGCTGTAATTTGAAGTCAATGGTATGGTTCCAGTAGTGTGATTCCTCCTCTTGTTCTTTAGTTTGATCCAATGTAGCCTGTTTTGATGCTTCTCCTAATATATCATGTCTCCTCACATCTGTGACAGTTTCTCTCACCAGTGTTATTTTTATCCCCCATCTCTATTCTGTCTGGTAGCTATATCATTGTGAATGTGAGCTCCGTTCCTGTCCTCCTTTAATCTATGTGACAGTAATAGCAATATCTCCAAGTGCTCATCTATGTCATCAGCTCATCTACCTTATTCACCCAGCTCCTTGCATTGAAATATACATAATTAAACAGTGAATATCTCTGATAGTTATCTTAACAGTACATTGAACTTTCTCCAACTATATTATCTAATGGTGCAGTTTAAAACCCTCATTAATCATCCAAACATTGGGAGCAGGGAGAAGTAAATATTTACAGATATCCAGCAGAGGACAGAAACTTTCTTTTCATATTGGCTGTTTCAATTTTTGTTATAATTTCTGATTTAAATAATCTGTTTACTTCAATAGAACACATTGAATGAAAGTATTGGAACCCTCCAAAACTCAGCAGCAAACTTAAAGGTAAATCAATTAATGTTTGGCTAAAGACATCTTTTCATTGTTGAAAATTCCATATATCATTTATTTGAAGTTGTACTTACTATCTTCTTTTGCCCTCTATCTTTGGATTACTCTCCATGTTCTAGATTGGATAGATGCTACAAAAAGGTACATGCCTTCAGTGCTGCTGGTGTTACTATTGAGAGGAGAGAGATTTTAAAAAATCATAAGAGGCTGATTGTTTACACAAAGGATGGTTTGCATGTGGAATGAACTTCTTGAGGAAGCGGTGGATGCGAGTACAATTACACCGTTTAAAAGACATTTAGATAAGTACATGAATAGAAAAGGTTTGGAGGCTATGGGCCAGGACCAGGCAGGTGGGACTAGTTTAGTTTGGAATTATGTTCAGCATGGACTGTCTGGACCAAAGCGTCTGTTTCCATGCTGTATGACTCTGACTCTATGCAGGCGTGGAACAGCAGGCCGGCATCCACCATTCCCCTGTGGACATGGATCAACTTCCATTTGATTTACTTGTTTTCAATTTGTCATCATGAGCAAGCTTCACTCACTGTTTCATCAAAATTCCGTTAGATCTGTGAGATAACAATACTGATAATCAGATCTGTCTCTTCGACGACTCAAGTGCAAATTGTTGATACTTAACATAAGACTGCTCTGCCCATTGAGAAGATTTTAGACATGACTGGAGAAGAGTGTGACAAACAATGTGTGGATACTGAGATGATAACCAACCCAGTAAGCTTCATTGTGGTGTTCTACACTCCTCTCCCCTCCCCTCCTTTTGGGGGAACAGACTTGATGGGCCAAGGGGTCTCTTGTGTGCTGTATGATTCTGTGATTCTCCATTTGTCCATTTTACACAAGTAATTCCCTCCCTTCCCTTGTACAGGGACTAGCAGCCTTTACTAAAACTCTGACAAGAAAGAGACCAACATTGAAAACAGTCAGCTCCACCTCTACCTCTGAGAAGGAATCCAATTATCCCTCAGAGGATGCACTGAGAAGGCTTCCACTTGCACTCTCCACCAGCTCAGAGACTTTCAACTAAGTGGGTACTCTTTCTAGATTGAGGAACACATTCATCTGAACAAGTCACTGACACATCTCTGCAACTGGTTGACGAAGAAATACCCCAGGTCTCTGGCACTCAAAGGACTGCTTAAGACCAGGGTCCTGAACAGCCCCAGGCAGAATATGGTTGCATGGTCTTGGCCATTAATGATTTCATCAAAATGCACGAGTGAACACAGGGGTGGCAGCAGGTTTGTTAGAAGCAATCGGTAAACTTGATTGAATGATGGAGGTGTCCATCAAAGTCATTAGTAAGTGCAGGCTCTGGCATGCCCGCAACTGGCTGCCCGTATGGATAATCTGGCTAATGCTGTGAAGACCCAGGAACTGCTGTCCATTGCTGTCGCATTGTTGCTCAGCATCAGTGGCAAGGTGAGAGGGACATGAGACACCTCTGTACTTGCTCCAGGTGCCCCTTCATTTCAGGGAGACAGAGTAGTGCTAACAGACATTAACAGGGAGGAAAGCACACACAGGACCCCTAGATGCTTCCTTTCAGATGCTTTAGAGGTACTTAGCCCATCTACTTCCCCCATCTGTGACACCAAAGTGCAAAAGTCTAAGTTGAGGAAGGTGGGCCTGCTTCAGCGCTGGAGACTGTCAGTGGCCCTGGATCCTTCAGGCCCAATTACCCGCTGGATATGGCCAGCAATGTCTTCCAGGCCAATAAGACTAACTATAGAATAGGCTTCCTCCATCCCAACTGCAGATGCCAGGACTGCACTTCGATATTTTGGGAGGGAACGGAAGGAAAAAATCATTTATTGCACATTGAGACAAGGGTGTTGTATGGTATTACATCATTGAATACTTGAAGTTTTGCAAATATGCGTTCACATGCACTCTTAAATCAACTGCTCTGGTATCTTCATCACTGTTAGACCTGGTGATGTTGCACCCATTTGAGAGATGAACAGCCTCTGAAAATAATTTTAATCACTAAGCATTACTCACCTCTCACAAGCAATTGATTCCTTGGCTGCAGATAGTCTTAAGTATCACGGATCCTTGAACTTTGATGTTCAGACCTGTAGCCAAGGTGTTGCACTGCAATGCAAAGCAACACTGATGCTACAATGTGCAAGGATTGTAGTAACAGTTGCCTTGCACACATCTTCCATGCTTACACCCACCTTGTTCGTGAAAGTACAGAATCAGTGATGATTCCACACATCTCTGGAAGCAAAGTTTCATTCTATTTATCAGCTTTTCAAGGGAGTGCATTGCCATTCAAGACTGGGAGATTTTCAAAGGGACGTCTAGTCTCCCTCTTAGTACATTTGCTTGCTGAAAGAAACTACACAAAATACTGCCTGTCTCAGTTAAACACTGTCCACAGGATGCTCAGGATGAAATACTCAAGCATTTTAGGGCAATTTAGTGGTCTGTGGAGACTCTGAAACTTTGAAGGCTAACTGATTACGAAAGGGCCCAAAGGAGATGACTCAGGATTGTGCTACCAATAATAAGAGACTTCACTACACAATACTCAAATATCATGTGCTGACTGAAGCAGTCTAACATTAATACCATGCAATGCTCGTGTCCTGTCTCATTGAATACTGCTTCCTCCTTTAAGGTGAGTAGGAGTAAGTGCAGATACTTGAAAGTGGGATTACCTGAAGATACCAAGCATGTAGATAATATATAATCATATGGGGGTAAGAAAACATTTGTTCAGTAATAAGAAAAGTTTAAAGATGGCAAAAATAATCAGGACCACACATACTTTGAACCAAGTCCAAATCCAGCTCTTTCATCCTGGAACCAGGTTTCAGATAGGATTTCTCTGGCTTCTCTCACACAGTGATGCATTGCTCCATCAACTCTCTTGGATGGGAAGTGAGGCCCTTCTCAACATCGAGACCAAAACGTCACATTTTCCAACCAAGTCTAGGGTTTTACTTCAAGATGAAATTTTCACACGTGAGTGGTGAGAAGCCAGTTAACATGGATTATTGGTCATTATCAGCCCTATTACTACATTATCTTACCACATTAAAATGCAGGCTGCTATTCTTCCACCCACTGAATAGAAACTAGATGCCACAAATTCTTGAGATGAAAGTCTGAGCAGGTACCTGGCAACTCCAGCTTACCACTTACTCCTCCTGACCTCCATCTTGGACACCTGTTACCAGCACCTCAGATCACACTCCATGGGCTGCAGCTGCATGCACCCCACCTCCACATACGTTGACATCTGACTTGTACCAGCCTCACTGTGTCATCATGGCAAATCTCTGATCCACTTACTGCACATCTCTGCCTTTAATGCTGCACTTTGGAGTACACTGATTTCTTTTGCTGTGAGGACACTTTATGCACAGGGACAGGGTTCCAGCTCACAACTGGACCAGGCCGCATCTGAGGGCTGCTCACTCTCATGGCACACACTCATTTTGGAATCATAGAATTCCTACAAGAGCATCCCACCCAGACCCACCCCGCTACCATTTCCCATGGCTAATCCACCCAGCGTGCCCACCCTGAACACTACAGGGCAATTTAGCATGGCCAATTCATCTAATCTGAACATCTTTGGACTGTGGGAGGAAACTGGAGCACCTGAAGGAAACCCCCGCAGACATGGGGAGAATGTACAAAGTTCACACAGACCAGGCACCCGAGGCTGGAATTGAACCTGGGTCCCTGGCGCTGTGAGACAGCAGTACTGACCACTGAGCCACCATACTCACTTGGATGCTGACACTATCCCTGCCTTGCCTCATCTTAGACTAAATATTGGTGGGGATGGTGGAGTTGCGGTCAGTTGCATGGATAATTATGGAAAAGGTTAAAGGTAGGGAGGGCCCAGCAAAGGTTATTAAAGTTTCCAGAAGAAGTAATAGGGCAGAGAGAATGGAAAGGCTCAGGAATATAACTTCAGGCACAGCAGATAAGGGGACAACTATGAAAAAGGGAGCAGTCAATGCAGGACTGAGGGTGTTGTAGTTAAATGCACAGAGAATATGAAACAAGATAAATGAGCTTGTAGCGCAGATTGAAATTGGCAGGTGCAATGTTGTAAGTATCAAAGAGATGTGGCTGCATGGGGATCAGGACTGAAACTAAATATCCAAGGAAGGCATAGAATCTGTGTGGGTTGAGAAACCGCAAGGAAAAAGGACCCCGATGGGATTAGTGTGGGAAAGAATATATATCAGGAGATAGAAAAGGCATGTAAGAAAGGCACTATTACAATGGGGGAACTTCAATATGCAGGTGGACTGGGAAAATCATGTTGACAGTGGATATCAAGAAAGGGAACTTGTGGAATGTGTACAATATAGGTTTTTGAAGCAGCTTGTGGTATTGTCCAATAGGAAACAGCCAATTCTGGATTTGGTGATGTGTAATGAGGCAGACTTGATTAGGACGCTTAAGGTGAAGGAAACCCTAGGGGGCAGTGACCTTAATATGATAGAATTCACCCTGCAGTTTGAGAGGGAGAACCTGGAATCAAATGCAATGGTATTACAATTGAGTAAGGTAACTACAAAGGCAAAGGTGAGGCCAATGCAACCATAACTGGTGAGGGAAGTAGGGGACAGCATAAAAGCAAAAGAAAAAGCTTACAATCTAGTGATGATTAGTGGGTAGCCAAAGGATTGGGAAGCCCCTAAAAATCAGCAGAGGATAACTAAAAAGGCAATAAGGGGGGAGTAGGTGAAATATGAGGGTAAGCTAGCCACTAATATAAAGAAGATCGCAAGAGTTCCTTTAGATATGTAACAGGTAAGACAGAGGCAAGACTGTACTTTGGACCACTGGAAATTTTGGCAGGAGAAGTAGTAATGGGGAACAAAGAAATGGCCAAGGAGCTGAACAGGTACTTTGCATCAGTCTTCATAATGAAGACACCAGCAGCATATCAGAACTTCAAGAGAGTCAGGGGGCAGAGGGGAGTGTAATGACCATTA